CAACCTCTAGTGAACCTGTGGATAACTGAGGACAGTAGTGTGTGTGCAAGAGATTTGTGTGAAAGTGCATGAGTTGTGCAAAACTCTACTAAATCCAATTACCAATCAAAACCCCATGTCTAGTCACTAAATATGTGAAATTATTGCCCTTAACTAACATCAAGAAGAACAATCCATGGGTGTGAGAACTGGTGATTTAACATTTAACACCAAAATTTCTGTTGCACTGTCACAATAAATCTCATTTCATGAAAAGGTAACACACAGAATTACTTTTTTGAAACAGAGACATTTTAATATATTAATGAAAGCACCTCTACGTAGGAGCTAGAATGTGTAGCAGGCTGTAGCCAAAATGCCAAGCTGATACTTTCTAAACTAATCTTTCCAGCTGATATATATTTGAACTCTATCTTAAATGCGCTCCAAGTAATAAAAGATTAAAAACAGAAAGACAGTTTACAGACTTTTTAAATTCTCAAAACTCGTGTAACATGCAACATTAATGGGTTACATTCACAAAACATGCTTTAAATTGGGCTGAAGCACTAAAGTAAAGCTATCCCTGTAGCAGGGCATGAAAAGCAAGTACACAAGCCATAATCTAGAAATAACACACCCAGTTCAAAGAGTAAGATAGAAGAACGTGTCACATACATCCCCCAGCTATAACAGCAAGCACAGACTTCAGACGAGTCTCTCTGTCATAGGTTTGCGTTGCCTTTAATACCACCACAGTGTTCAACACAGAATCTGTTCTCTTTTCCACAAGAGCAGCAAATTTGGACAGAAACTCACCTGGCTTGACAGTCTCAGACTTGTCAGTTGATCTGCCCTCTGCCCCACAAGAGGAAAGTGTTGTGGTGGTGGCATTCGCGATAGGGGTATGACTGGATGATGTAGTTGCCACACTTTCACTTGTCTTCAAAATGTGAGCTGCATCCCCAAGGCTTTCACGAGATTTTTTAGGCGGTTTGCCCAAGACAGGAGTACCACTACATGACCAATCTGATTGTAAGAAATGTATAATGTTAATCATTTGAATATAAAACAATAAAAGCACATGGCTTCATTCTTACAGCACTCTAATAAATGATAAAGGTAAAGATAAAATTGTCCCATTACTAAATTAAGAAACATGCCATGAAGATGTAAAGGGCATGGAAATATAGCTCAATGCATTTGTAACATAACAGATGGAAGTGACAGGTCAGTTTCGTGCCCTGGCTGCTTTATCTCCATGAAAACAGTCCCCATTCCCATTGGATGGTTCAAGAACCACTCTGGACAACATGAAGAGGAGAAAAATTTCTATCACCCACCAGAAAGTGAATCCTGGTTCCTTGTTCATTCACCCAATAACCTGGACATTATACCGACTGAGATATCCTGGAACAATAGAAATATACTGACTCCAGATAATTAACGTACCCCATGTGAATTTAAAACAACACTTCAGACGTATAAATGTGCTATTACAGAAAAAAAAAATCTTATATTTGCTTTTGTAAATTTACAAAGGCATCAGAATACTTTTTGTTTCTTACCATTTGTGGAGGATTTCCTCTTTGTGCTGGTCTTTGTATGGTTCAAGAGGTTTCCACTCGAACTGAGTGAACTCAAGGTCTCATTGTTGTGAGTTTGTGTTTTCTGCTTCTTATGGGGCCGACAGCCTGCCTCACTTTGGCCAGGAGACTCCTCTCTTTTTCGCTTGCGTCTGCCAATACAATCATTAGCAAAAATATCAGATTTGGGATTCCTACTTTACTGAAAGTTATTATCTTGGCCTTCTGCCAAGTCACACCATGTACTTTGCACTTTTTGACTTTGCTGTCTGTAATTAAAGACTATAGC